CCTTCTTAGGACTTACCTGAAGAAGGCATTTTAACCGTCGAAACAAATGATAAAAGTAGTTTGTATCTAATCATACAAAGAAGTACAATTAATAATTAGATTTAGGTGATTGTGTAAACTACTTACCACGACAACGAGATATTCTGCTTCCAACACTTAATTCAAAAGAAGTATTAATCATCTCTCGCAGTGATTCAATTGTAATAACCTGCTTCTATTTTTTTAATGTTTATAATTCTGTCTCATTAGAATCAAGTTCTTCCCTACAGCTGGATGCAGAAGACGAGCGGTAGTATTAGAGCGAGACATACTAGGCTTGACTACCTTCATTCACTCCTAATTTTAAATTTTATGTTTTATTTCAGACGTGAACTTGTGAACAAAGGTCAAATATGATATGTTATTTCAACAAATGCTTCGTTCATTAGGATAGCCACATTGAAGTCTGTAACCTAGTTTTATTTGTCTGCACTTTATATGCATTGCAATTATTTAGGGTTTATAGTTTCTTGGGCTACTTTCTGTTCCATTTACATGCTCAAATTATATAACTACTGTTATATTTACCCCCCCCCACATACGCCAAAAAACTCCAACAACAATGAAAATTTTTGCAGATATTTAAAGTCTTATTCTTTAAAGTCTCATGAAAGCTGAAACTATGATGAGTTTTTTATTATTTTAGTTATGTATCAGGGATTTTTATGTAACACTGCAACTAATTACATGAGCTTAAACATTAATAGATTATTTATATTCTCCTACATTTTTCTCTGTGTGAAGTTGTGGTGATTTGGTAGTTTTTCCCAAAATTAGATGGGGGTTAAACCTCCCCCCTCACCCCATGACCTTTTCCATGCCATCTTGTATCATTGTGTCAAGTTTGGTATTGATTGATTAAGAAATGTGGAAATGTATGAGAAACAGATATACGCACACTCATGTTGACGCGACCATCCAGACGGAGACTTGCTACAAGACGTACCCCAGCTATGGTAAGCAAAGTGTAGCATTTGGTAACTAGTTAGAATACACGAACTCAAGGGTAAGTAACAAATGCCGTCCACATATTCCAGGCAACTGTCCTCAACACAATCAAGAGCAACACAAGTCCGGAATGATCATAAATTTTACGTATAAATGCCGCTTCTATGGAATGTCGATAAATGTGATTGAAAGAACTACGTAAGTAGCAACGTAGCGAATTATAAGAAAAGAAATAAGAAACGGTATATATGTAGAAAGATTAGAAGCTAGAAGTGAAGAGTAAAACAATCAGCACACTTCTTAGCTAAGATGGAACATGAACCCGTCATGATGGACAAGGCAGGAGCTTGAAATCTTATTAGTCAAAGTCCTCCTTCTCGTTTTGGAAGAAACATCAGGCCGCACATCTCAGATTTCTTGGTTTGTCACAACGTCAGTTTCAGTCTCCTCGGAGTGCTGTTTTTGATGTGTAGGCAAAGAAAACCCCATAAATCAAGAATTAATTATGTCTTAAATAATTTCTCTTTTATTTTCCCGTATATAATTTCACATTTTTGTTGTCGATTTGGATTACATTTCACTCTTTCTCTAAATAGATATGTATAATTTTTTAAGAAATATTTTTATGCTATCTGTAAAAATATAAATTTACTTACTTACTTACTTAATACCATACGGTATTAAATATAAAATATTTCATGTGATTGCAATAAATAGTTTTACAAGTTATTTTTGCATTTGGAAGTTTGCCTGGGAAGAAATAGCAGAATTTAAAACGGACCGGATAATTTTTCTAATTTCCACCATTCGAGATTAATATATTAAAGAAGTCATTTTGAAATCTTTAGTGTCAGAAGAGCGACTTTTATTGTGTTTATCTTAGCATTCTTGCATTTACCAATATATGTGTATGTGTTTTTAACTATTTAAAGCTATGTCCAAAATACATATTATGTAAGAAGCTTAGTATACTCTTTAAGCAATTTTTGAAGGCTGTATATTTTTGAAAAAAAATCCCTTTCTGCATTCCTGAAAAATGGTGTCAGAGATTATTGCTCAATACCTCATATTTTTGGACGTATTGAAAAGGCATGAATTTTGATAAAATAAGTAAATAAATAGGAGCGTAGGTTATGGTACTTGTGTCGATTTTTCGCAGTCGTATTGATCAATAACCTGTTTCAATGTATGATCTCTCATTTATGTTACTTAAGTCGCTTGCTATTGAACTTTAGTATTATAGATACTTATCATATTTCTTTTTTTTTGGGGGGGGTACAAAAAATTTAACGTAATTTATTACTTCCTATATCCAGCTCTGTGTTTGTTACAGGAAATAGTTAAAGTAATATAGTTTTAAACAGCCAGCTCTGTGTTTGTTACAGGAAATAGTTAAAGTGATATAGTTTTAGACAGCCAGCTTTGTGTTTCTTACAGTTACAGGAAATAGTTAAAGTGATATAGTTTTTAGACAGCCATCTCTGTGTTTGTTACAGGAAATAGTTAAAGTGATATAGTTTTTAGACAGCCATCTCTGTGTTTGTTACAGGAAATAGTTAAAGTGATATAGTTTTAGACAGCCAGCTTTGTGTTTCTTACAGTTACAGGAAATAGTTAAAGTGATATAATTTTTAGATACACCATACATTATGTTTAGCATGTTATTTTCTTTGAAATTTAACATTGTTAGATTTTCATGGACAGTTTATTTATTTTTATCTTCATAAACATTAGTTTGTGTTGGTAAAATTAGTGCTAGACATTCAACACAATTTAAACAGTAACATGTGTCGTATACAGATCTCTTTCTCTCATTACAGGAATGGTTTAATGAGTATTTTGTTTTTTGTTGGTCAAAAGACGCAATAGGAAGGAAAGAAAATAATTAAGTTATACCATGTTTTCATTTTCAAATCAATTTTCTCCAACGGCAGTATTTCAAATAGGAAGATAATGTTTCTTTAAGATAAGGTTTCTTATATTATCTATTTATTTTCACTTTCATTCACTATACTGATTATATCATTTCGTACATCAAATGTCATTATGTTTTATTTTGTTTATTATTATAATTTTACTATAAAGAGTGGTTTGCATGATTGACTAGATATATGAATTTAGGACCTAATTTAAATCTCCTTAGCTGGCCAAACCCTCTTCAGATATTGTTGGAATTACAGCTGAAAATATCGAGGGTACCAAACAATGCGTTCTTATTTATACAAATACATTTTCTTGTTTGTTTTAGTGTAAAGTTAAGCACATAACTACACAGTAGGCTATGTGTGCTTTGCCCACCACGGGTATTGAAATCCGATTTTTAGCGCTGTGCCATTGCTGTTACACTGGGGGGGGGGGGCACATATAAATGTCAATATGTGGGTGTGTTTATCTATTCCTAATAAGTTTCCACATTTCTTGATCAATCAGCGCCAATCTTGACACAGTGATACAGGATGACATGAGGAAGGTCACGAGGAGGAGGAGGGGAGGGGGTTGGACCCCCATTTAATTTCATGTTGATAGAATTCTTGAAAACAGTATGTCTTTCTTTTCAGTATTGGTACCTTTATGTATTTTTATTGTACTTTTAATGTTTATTATGTTAGGAAAAACAATTAGTAGCATAATTTCTTATCCTTTGACACTAATTTGTACGCTGAGCATAGGTATGATCGAAGGGAAGAGGTCAAGTGAAGAATTGTGGAGGTTTTTATTTTGTGACAAAGTTTTTCGCTAACGTTTTGATGCTAATGCTTGGAATGGTTTCCATAACAGGAAGGTTTCAAGTTTAATTACAGTAAACTAAGCACATTTAAAGTAATAACTATACGCCCGGCATGGCCTGGTGGTTAGAGCGCTTGACTCGCAAGCTGAGGGTCGCGGGTTCGAATCCACGTCTCACCAAACATGCTCGCCCTTTCAGCCGTGGGTGCGTTATAATGTGACGGTCAATCCCACTATTCGTTGGTAAAAGAGTATCCCTAGAGTTGACGGTGGGGGGTGAAGACTAGCTCCTTTCACTGCTAAATTAGGGACGGCTAACGCAGATAGACCATCAGAAAATTTTTTAGTTTTTATAAGGAATGTAAGAACGTAGTTGCAAATAACTTAAAACACAAAATATTCATGTTTCATAGCCAGCCACAGTTATGCAAGATACATGATATATATTTTTTAGTGTATGTAATCGATACAACTAAATATTTTGTATGCATGTTTAATTAACAAAGTGACTGCTTTGATTTTCTCAACTTTGCACAGATATTAACAGATAAATATTATTTCACCAACAACTTCATCCTCCCTCTTCCATTACAATAGTAAAAATATCATTATGAAACAAAGACAGTTTGATAGCGAGATATAATTTACCGGTGTTTCTTTCATTATTTACTTTTTATCTAAACAAGTTTCAAATCTTTGGAATGGAAAAAAGAAAGAGGATATAGAACTGAATTGTTAGACTCTGCTAACAATATCCCCCCCCCAGGTCTTAGCAGTATGTTTGCGGACTTACAGCCGTAAAAACCGGGTTTCTATACTCGTGGTGAACAAACTACAGATGTAACTGTAAACAAACAAACAAACAGCTAAAGAGACTGCTCATATCGATTCGAAGAGGTAAGGTAAGGCATATGTTTGAGGGGAGAGAACATTGAAATATTTGAATGCTATTTCTATGTAAGTATAAAAGCTACTATGCTGCAATGTATTTTCACTGGTATAAATTGACATTAATAGGTTTGGAGAAAATGTGGTATGAAGTATATAGGAGTTGTGAAGTATATAAGGTTATGAAATGGTTAGAATTTAAATTGAACTTCTGTTTCTACCTCTTTTTTAAATTATTAGTAACTTTTTTATGCTAGAGAAAGTGGAAATTTATATGTATGATTGAAAACAAACTACCATTTTTACCACTTAGTGATTGAACCGTTTATATTAACTATATTGTACGAATAATGCTTTAAACGTGTATCTTTTCAGCATGGTCCGAGTGGTGTTTTGTGGAACAACAAAATACAAATCTTTTGTTTCCTGCTGTCAAACGTTGCATAGATAATTCTTAATTGTTAGTTTTTTTTAAACACTGCCTGCGTGGTTATTAAGAGAACTGTTTTCATTCTCTACCAAACACCCCTAACATGAACTAATAGACCAGTCCAACAATCTGGGGTAGTAAACTGACGTTACTTCGTGTGATCGTATCAACATCACTTGGCCCTGGAGTAGTTTATCTGCTGGCCACGTTGGTAAAGGTTCGCTACCCGTTTCAGAGAAGCGTTTCATTAGGCGACGAGGATTTTCTGTAGCCCAGCTGTGCTCCGAAATACTGTGTGGTGACCACAGAGAGAGAAATACTTAGTTAAATCAAACTAGTGAAACTATTGCTATTCCGGTAGGACTAGTATAAATAGTGGCAAGATTATACATCCTTAGTCAGATACATATAGATCGTGTGAATAAAAGTGTTTGCACTACAATCCACTTCCAGATATTGCACCTAAAGACTGTGACCCATTGCTAGTGCTACTGTGTCAGGAAAGAAATAAATCACCTGGTTATTTGCACTACTATTGGTTTGATACTTGAAAACTGGAAGAACATAAGAAATAATAGGTAAGTTTTTTCTTTGCAGTTTGTGCAATTAGTTTAAGATTAATTCTTGTATTAGAAACTTGTTTGTTATTATCTGCTTTTTGTTTTTATAACAGAACTCCTGGAAATTATTCTATATCCTAAGCCTAATATAAAGAAGTCGCAGTTAATCATTTGTATAAGATAGTTCTATATGTAGAAAACAAGCTTGTATGATGACGTAGCTTAAAAGTTATGATATTGTTGTAAGCTATATTTTGAATAATATAATCTAATTGTTTGCTAGAAGAAGCTGCTAATCAAGATGATGATGAAATATCTAGAAAGTTCATGAATATTCAGAATGTAGGAGTTTAGGGTAATGTGCATAAACAAGAGCACATAATAAATACGAGAGCCAGTGAAGCAGTGAGTCAATGAAAAGTTAATGAGTATTCAAAGTAACGAGTGAGTGATTCAGTTGAAATGATTTATCATGTTTAATCAGTTACTCCATCGATTAGCAAGGAAATCCTGTAAGTTTTGTATACGTGAATTGGGCATATTATTAGTTTCATAATTTCTCTTCAAAAATTCTTTATAAATTTAGACCTAAAATTTGTTTCAAAGACACATAGCCGATAGTAAACATTATTGAAGAAATAAATTAATTTATTACTGCTTTTACTCGACCTGGCATTATTTTTACACGATAATACAAATAAGACAAAACCGCCAAACGATAGAATTTTACAACATTGATGTCAGAAATGGGATTACTTTAATGAATATAAAGTAGAACTTTGACAAAACTTCAATTTTAATATGACAATATGGTGTAGAACCAAAATCGAACCATTAATAGAAATGATGATACAGTTAAAAGAAGGTCGAAGAAGATGAAAATTTGAAGAATGGAAACGAATTGATAAATGAGATGTATAAACAAGGCACATCTCTTTCTGCATCTGCTATAGAAATCCAACCTAAAACAGCATTTACTACAAAATATTTGGTCTACATCCATTATTACTACTGCCGTGCTATCTGTTTTGGCAGGACCATTTCACTACCAAATCCAGTTCCGGACTTTAGTTGGCCAATTCGGTAGCAACTCCCAATTAAGAAACTATTGGATTATGATGGAAAGGTACCATGGAAGACACACCAGGCTTAGGTTGAAATCATTTCCAGAGTGAGCAACAAACTATTAATCTTGCTGCTCATATAAAAGAACTAACTTTAATGGCATTAAGGAATCTATCAGTTTAGAGCCATAACAATTATCAAGCACTGGAAGCTACCGTATCTAACAGGCTTGTAGTGACACAACAGAGGGAAGTATTCCGAGCAAAGTTCCAGAACATAGTACAGAGGAAAGAATAAACCTTAGTTGAACTTCTGGAAGACTTGGAAAGGCTTGCCCAATTATCTTGCCTGGATGCTCCACATGAAATGACGGATTTGTTGACACGTGACCAATTTATAAGTGCCGTAACTGAGGAGAGTATGAGAATTAGGTTGAAGCAAGGTAGGTGTACATGATTAAAGAAAGCTCTCCAGATGGTGATATGTCATGAATTTATTAAAGGCATGATGTAGAAGTTCTTGATCATCAGATCAAGTGGTATTGAAATACAACTTCACCTGATGCTAGTCTAGAATAACTAAACGTATAAGACAACTATTCACAAAGAAAAGAGGAAATAAAACACAAGACAATAAAGCTAACCAGACACTAGAAAACGGGAAATTGCTGGACTTATGGAGCAGAGTTCATCAGAGAATAATCCATCTGCTCCAAAGGAGATAAGAAGTTATATATTTAAATAAACCAGTCTACGAGTCAACAGGCTTATTGATTGAAAGCATTGCAGTTTGATTTAGTAATGAAAGATGGGAACTTGCCTCCAGCAGTGATGATATAAGATGGATTGGTGCCAAGAGCAAGAAGACATAAATTCACATAAGCTTTTGATCGATTGTACACAGTAAACCTTTTGTTTATTTTGCTCAGAATGGTTCACCAGGTTTACCTGGCATCATCATATGAGTTACAAGAATTGAGGTTAAGGTTGTAAACAAAATAAACAAAAATTTTAGTATGTAAAACCGATAAAACTTGTGTGAATTTACAAAAAATACATAGTTCTTTCTAATATTCAGTTCAAGTGGGCATAAAGTTCCAGCTGTAGGAGAGTTAAAAGTTACCCTTATTGTAAGAAACTTTTCTACACTTCATGATGTATGGATAATTGATATTGAATAAGAGTGCATATTGGGAACTGATTATGTGTAGACACATGGATGCAAGGTTAGGATAGCTCCAAATAGCTTCATAGTCTATGAAATAAAGTTCCTGTTTACTATATGATAATTATTACACATTATGATGAACTTCCAGTGATAACAAGGATAGCATTTATTTTACTGCCAAGAAGCAAAATACTTATACCAGGACTTATTAGGAATAAATTTACATCTAAAGAAAAGATTTCATCATTAGGACAATGAACCATAAAATTCAAGTCAAATCTGGATAGAACATTTTAAGGTGTGAAGATTTACAGGTAGTACTTCTATCACGACTATCACTTGAAAAACAAGCTGAGGCTTTCAAAGAGCTAGAAGCCATGAAAGAACAAGGATTAATAGAACTAAGTATTTGTCCATGGGTAGATCCACAATGTTCTGCACTAACTACTGGAAGTTGAATGAAGTCATAAAAAAAGGATGTATATCCAATGCAAAGGATTTATTTACTTTAGATGTTCTATCTGGATGAAAATGGCCTTTGACATTGGATCATAAGATTGAACATTGGCAAATGCAAGTGGATGAAGTAAATAGAGAGTAGACAGCCTTTAATTCAGGAAATTGATTGTGGCAATTTGTTGTTACCATTTGGATTATGTAAAGTATCTAGTACATCTTGATGACTAATGTGATGTTCTCCCCTCTGTACCACCCTGGAAAATTATACTCATCTACTTGGATGACATAATTGCAAATTGGAGGACTTTTGGTAATGCTTATGTTGGCTTAAGGACAGCTCTGGGTGTGTTGAATAAAGAGAACCTAATGCTGATTTCCAAGAAGTGTTAACAAGTGAGCTTCCTAGGACACATGTTCAGTAGAGAGGGAGTGTCTACAGACCCATCTCAGATTGAATTTGTTCAGAATTGGCCTGGACAAAAGCTTTGGCATGCGGTAAGAGAATTTCTTAGATGGACTGCCCCTACCATCATCATTTTGTAATGTAACGAATTTGTTATTATATATTTATTTTAATATCAACGTTTGTTTAGATTAAATTCATATTTAGA